CCCTCTGTTAATGCAGCCTGTGTTGGCTTTTTTGGCAGCTGCAGCACACTTGCTGGCTCAATTTTAAGTGATTGTCCACTAGGACCCTTTCACAATTACTATTATTGAGCCAGGTACCACCTAGACCAGACATGTCAAACACAAGACCGGATGAGGCCCGCGAAGTGGTTTCATGTGGCCCACGAAGCCATCCTGGAAACAGTGAGGGAACGGCCCCTGCTGCCTTGGCCCTGGACCAGGCCAACTGGGAGCCAATGTGGTGGCCATCTTGGCACTTGCCCCGGTCCCACCCCCTTCTGCAAGAGACCCTCAGATCTGTCCCACTCCTGCCCAGGCCCCTATAGGCACCTTTGATGCGAATGATGTAGAACTGGCCACACCCACCCAGTAGTCCACACCCACTCCATCCACACCCACCCAGTAGGCTGCACCCACTCTGGCCACATCCACCCGCCCTCCCCTAGGGCAACAGCAATGCTGATGCGTCCCTCAGTGAAATTGAATTTGACACCCCTGACCTAGACCAGGGCTTTTCAACCAGTGGTATGGGTACCACCTGTGGTACATTGGCACCTGGCAGGTGGTATGCGACCATCCTAGAAAAGTGGTAGCGGGGGAGGGGAATGAGCTGAACCGGTGGCAGCACCGCACAAGCCTGAGTGAGAGATGGCTGGAGCTGCAGGGCTGTCAGGGCTCAGCGGAAGCGCCAGGATCAGTGCTTCTTTGGGGCTGTCAGGGCTCAGCGGAAGTGCCAGAATCAGTGCCAGGGTCCAGCTGGAGCTCAGTGCTGATCCTGGTGCTTCTGCTGAGCCCAGAAGAAGCGCCAATCAGCTGGAATGTTGCAGCATCTCCAGGGTCTTGTGATTTACATTCAGATGCTTGGCAACTGATTCATATTTGTGACGGTCAGAGTGTCCCAGGGTCATGTGAAGTGACCAAAACCTGCTGCAACCACCCAGCAGACGGGGGAATAAAAACCAAACACCCCCCCACCCCACCCCCGCTGCCAATCCTCAACAGAAATGCTCACAATGAAAACCTCGGATAGGAGGAAGAGCGCCGCCGGGCGGGCAGGCAGGTGTCTTGCTCGGCTGTGGCTTGTGGGGCACTTTTTTCAGTGCCATTGTAACTTCGAACAGTCACTAAGCGAACTGTTGTAAGTCGAGGACTATCTGTACTTTATCACTTTTTTCCTTTTTTTTTTTTTGGGTCAAGTTTTTGGCACCTTGCTAGGCGACTGGTGGTACTCGGATATTGCCATCTCCTAAAAGTGGTACAATGGGTGAAAAGGTTGAAAAGCCCTGACCTAGACTATACCTGTGCATTTGGTTTTTGGGAGGCCTTCCTTAGGTCGTTGTTTTGGCCTCTTGTAAGTTGTGGTCAGGTGTGTAGAAGGTTCTCATAGATCTCCTGCATCATAATTGGACTGATTTTTGGTACATTGGAAAATGCATCCGGCTGGACTTCACTCCTACGTGGTTTCATGGGTGGAATGTAACCCTCCGCCATGCAAAACCCATTTGCAACAAGCCATGCTAGGCAAAACAGCCAGAGGTTCTCCCTGCAAGGATCAGAAAACAGATGCATCATTTTATGAACACAAACAAACCTGACCACTTCTATAAAGCTTTGTGGTTAATTTACAAGGTCTGGAACTACTGGTCGTCCTCTGCACGCTATCTGCATGTACACATCACAAATCAGTACGGGTGAAGAGCCACAGAAGGAGGATGTGACTCAGTAGAGATGAAGACAACCAGAGTGAGCAGGTGGAAAATTATTTTGGGGGGGAACAGCAAAAGCTGGGTGAGTGCCTAATTTGTATTTATTGATATATGGTTGTTTTTAAAAAAAAAAAAACTAACAGAAAAAAAATAAAAGCAATTCAGATTGACTCTGCAGCCCATTTTTCTCTTTCTCTCTCAAACTGTGGAATAAAACCTGACTCGGCTTCAAAGCCAACAGGGAGGCTGCCAAGTGTGTCCTGTGGTGAAAATAGCTAGGAGTCATAATTTGCTGGGACTGTTTCTCAGAACGTATTTTTTTTTTCTTTTATAGCCTTAGAAAGAACAGTAGAAAGGAATCCCTGCCTTTGTTAGGCTTGCAGTTTGACACCTTGTTTACAAGAGTGCAAGTCTGTCTGTCTGTCTGTCTGTCTGTCTGTCTGTCTGTCTGTCTGTCTGTCTATCTATCTATCTATCTATCTCCCTCTCTCTCTCAGACACACATCTCTCTCGCTCTCTCCCTCCTTCCCTCCCTCCCTCCCTACCTACCTACCTATACCTACCTACCTATCTATCTCCCTATCTCCTTATCTCTCTGTCTCTGTTTCTCTGTCTGTTTCCCTCCCTCTCTCTCTCCCTCTCTCCCTACCTACCTACCTATCTCCCTATCTTCTTATCTCTGTTTCTCTGTCTCTGTTTCCCTCCCTCTCTCCCTCTCTCCCTCTCTCCCTACCTATCATCTATCTATCTATCTATCTATCTATCTATCTATCTATCTATCTATCTATCTATCTATCTATCTATCTATCTATCTATCTATCTATCTATCTATCTATCTCCCTATCTCCTTATCTCTCTGTCTCTGTTTCCCTGTCTCCGTTTCCCTCCCTCTCTCTCTCTCTCTCTCTCTCCCTCCCTCCCTCCCTATCTCCCTATCTCCTTATCTCTCTGTCTCTGTCTCTGTTTCCCTCCCTCTCTCTCCCTCCCTCCCTCCCTATCTATCTCCCTATCTCCTTGTCTGTTTCTCTGTCTCTGTTTCCCTCCCTCTCTCTCTCTCCCTACCTACCTACCTATCTCCCTATCTCTTTGTCTCTGTTTCTCTGTCTGTTTCCCTCCCTCTCTCTCTCTCTCTCTCTCCCTCTCCCTCTCTCCCTCTTTCTCTCCCTCTCTCCCTACCTCTCTCTCTCTCTCTCTCTCTCTCTCTCTCTCTCTCTCTGTTTCTGTCTGTCTGTCTGTCTGTCTCTCTCTTCTTCTCTCTCTCATCCATTTATCTATTTTTTCTGAACCCCCTTCTTCCTCAAGGAGATTTCCCCCAAATCTTCTATTGCTTAATGATTTTGATCACACAGAATCCTGAACCACAATTTATGTCAGCCGCAGGTGTTGAGCAAACCAGAACTGCCTGGTTCACAGATCGGGCAACAAAACCTTGTTCCCATGCTTTGGAGGCAAAGAAGTTCAAATATGGTTTCATGTCATGTGCAGAGCTTTTAGCCAATCCTTGCATTTAATGTTTAGCTCCTGAAATTATGGGGGGAAGTCCTTTAGTTTTTCTGCATTAGAAAAAAAAAATCTATTAAGGCTGGACGTTTTACCACAAGAACTGTAGACCTGAAGTGAAACCGCCAAACATTCTGAATTAAGTAAATAAGGGAACTTAATTTACTTTCCTAACTACATCTCTCAGCATCAATGAACCTTGCTGAGATGCTGTAAAGTCAACTCTGTCCTCCTAAATGTTATCTGCACAAGGATGGCTGGGTGATACCTAGAAGCTGCATTCTTTGGAACTGAAATAAAACTTTCATACTTGGAAAGAGAAGCAGAAAAGCTGAAATGTGCCAGTTATTATAAGGACAAAAAAAAATCTTACTGCTTGGCTTTCAATTTGCAGTTGAGATACACTTTATTCTGATCTTAATGCAAAGATTTGTCGTTTTCAATAGGATAGCAAGAAAAAGAAGCATATTGGTTGGCTCCCAGGTTTGGATATTTTTTTTAGCCATAAGACCGTAAATAATGACAAAAAAGAGGTTGTAAAATAACCTGTTTAATCCCTGGGGAAGGGAAGAAAAAAACTGAAATCAAAAAATAAACCAATAACATATAGCTCTAACAAGGCTTGTTCTAGGCAACTGTGCAGCATAATTTTGCATAATATGTCAGAATTACACCTGGATGGATGGATGGATCAATAGATAGATAGATAGATAGATAGATAGATAGATAGATAGATAGATAGATAGATAGATAGATAGATAGATNTAGATAGATGATAGATAGATAGATAGATAGATAGATAGATAGATAGATAGATAGATAGATAGATAGATAGATAGATGAGAAGAGAGAGAGAGAAGGCTGGGAGATAGATGGATGGATGGGTGGATGGGTTGATGGGTGGATTGATAGTAGATAGATAGATAGATAGATAGATAGATAGATAGATAGATAGATAGATAGATAGATAGATAGATAGATAGATAGGAAAGAGAGAGAGAGAGAGAAGGCTGGGAGATAGATGGATGAATGGATGATAGATAGATAGATAGATAGATAGATAGATAGATAGATAGATAGATAGATAGATAGATAGGTAGGTAGGTAGGTAGGTAGGTAGGTAGGTAGTTAGATAGATAGATAGATAGATAGATAAATAGATAGATAGATAGATAGATAGATAGATGATAGATAGATAGATAGATAGATAGATAGATAGATAGATAGATAGATGAGAAAGAGAGAGAGAGAAGGCTGGGAAATGGATGGATGGATGAGTGGATGGGTAGATAGATAGATAGATAGATAGATAGATAGATAGACAGATAGATGAGAAAGAAACACAGAGAGAAGGCTGAGAGAGATGGATGGTTATTGAGTGAAGAGAGGGGAGAGAGAGAGAGAGAGAGAGAGAGAGAGAGAGAGAGAGAGAGAGAGAGAGAGAGAGAGAGAGAGAGAGAGAGAACGGTGTCACAATATTTCTACTTAGCCCTAAGGCTGCTGCATTTGACTATTCACAAACCAAGGAAAATCTCAATTGACTTTCATTTTTTTCCTTTTTCCTGGTTTCTTTGTGATAATTAAAAGGCGGTTTGGATCAGAAGACCAAACTGAGGCAAAGTTAACGGACGTGTTGACTGCAGAACTACGGTATCCCAAGCGTTCTGCAGACAAGCCTGAAGTTCAACACAATCCAACTGATGCAGGTAGCCTTTGCGATGGTGTCGAGAAGGTGATGCGAGCAAGTCTTTGTAGAAAACCTCTCTGTTTTCTACCATGAATAATAGCAGCAGCAACGAGTGCCTTTTTATCCCTCTGAATGCCACCAAGACTTTTAAAATCCCCGTGTATTCCATAATACTGGTATTCGGCCTGCCTCTGAATATCTTGGCCTTTTGGGCTTTGATCTACCAATTAAAGAAATCCGTGGTCCTTTCTGTTTATATTATGAACCTTGTGGTGGCTCACCTCTTGCAGATTTTAACCCTGCCTTTCTGGATGGACTATAGCCTCAACAATCACCGCTGGAGCTTGGGAAAAGCAGCGTGTCTCTTCATCGGCGTGGCTTTCCGTACAAATTTCTACGCCAAAAACAGTTTTCTGTGTCTCATCGCCATGGAGAGGTATCTCGGCCTTGCGCACCCACTCCGGTTTCACCAGGCGCAGACCATTCCAGGCGCTGTGAAGATTAGCATCCTGGTTTGGCTGGTGCTCTTGACTCTTTGCACCATTGGGATTGGGTTGCAGATGCGTACGTTTGAACCAGGGAAGGCCTGTGTGGACAGCTTCATCCTGAATTATCCTTATGCAAAGTTTCGGGTCAGCATCGTGGGTTTTTCTTTCATTATCCCGCTCTTTCTCATGGCTTTTTTCCACATCAGCGTCCTCTTCAAGCTCAGGCAGGTGGTATCTCTGGAGAAGAGAGTCAAAACGCAGATCTCTGGGTTCATCTCTCTCCTCATTATGACCTTCTTCCTCCTCTTCACTCCTTACCAGATAATTTCATGCTATAGATACCTGTTGGAAGTCATGACGCCTTCCACCGCCATCTGTGACTCTCTGAGAGAGATCTTCGTTTACGAGCACGCAACGTTGTGCGTTTCTCTGTTGGACAACATCTTGGATCCCCTGTTTTATAACCTCCTTCTCAAAGATATTCAAACGGATTTCAGAAAGTGCCTGCGTTCCAGGACCGGAAGGAAAGGCGTCTCATTGGAAGCAAGAATCTCTTCCACGTTTAAGCATTCTGAAAACACCAGGCCGCTTCCAGATCTTTAATCTTATCTATGGAAAAATCTAATCACTTAGCCTATTTGTATGGGGTGGGGTGGGGGTAGGGAATTGGAATGCTGCTTTGATTTCTGACTCTCTGTGAAAGGAATGCCTCTTGGGTTGAAGACCGAAATGTAGCTATCTAAACAAAAATAAGTACCTCTAAATCAAACATTTGTATCATTGCATCAAAATAAGGATGCTGTTTATTGTTGTTGTTGTTGTTGTTGTTCAATATATTCATATGAATCAGAATAACAATTGGAAAGGACTTTGGAGGTCCTTCTAGAGTGGAGTGGAGTGGAGTGGAGTGGAGTGGAGTGGAATGGAATGGAATAGAATAGAATAGAATAGAATAGAATAGAATAGAATAGAATAGAATAGAATAGAATAGAATCTGGAAGGGACCTTAGAGATCTTCTAGGCCCATGGTGGCAAACCTATGGCACGCGTGCCACAGGTGGACGCAGAGCTCTCTCTGTGGGCACGTGCGCCGTCGCCCAAGTTGTAGGCCTTCAGCTGGGTTTTATAAAACCTTTTTGCTTTAGGCTTCCGCCGCCGTGTGCAAAAAAAAAAAGGTTCAATCAATCAGTTTCAACTTCTTGCGGGGGAAAAAAAGATCTCGCAAAGTTGGAATTGATTGATTGAACTTTTTAGTCCCACCCAGTCTGCCGTTACCAACACAGCCACGCCCACCCAATGGGCCACGCCCACCCAATGGGCCACAGCCACCCAATGGGCCACAGCCACCCAATGGGCCACAGCCACCTGGCACCCGACGATACATAAGTGGGTTTGGGGTTGCAGTTTGGGCACCCGGTCTCTAAAAGGTTCGCCATCACTGTTCTAGGCCAACACCTTGCTCAAGCAGGAAGCCCAATTCCATTTCAGACAAATGGTTCTCCCATCTCTTCTTAAAAAGAGATTCAGACACCTTCTTTTCCCAGGTTTCATGGGAATCCAAGCTGGGAATGCAATAAAACACACCTAATGATCAATGGAGGTCAAAGAAAATATATTTATTTGGCTAGCAGCCATGATGGACTGCTTCTCTGTTGCCTTTCTTATTGCTTTTTAATTTAAAGATTTAGCCAATCATTACCAATAGAATGGAACGTGTTGGTTTATTATGATAGTTATGAATATGAATATTTTCCTCCTGTGCAATCCTTCCTTCCTTCCATATTCAGTTAAAACAGAGCTTCCTCATCTACACCTAAGCACAGTGGTTGTATAAATGAGCATTTTACCTTTCCTATATACATATGCTTTCCTATACACAAGATACATGGCTTCCTTTACATAGGTTTTGCTACGTGATATGCTCATTTATTTATAATACAGAAACCAGCCTTTCCCTTTTTTTAAAATAGCCTTATTGCTGCCTATGCAATCTTTCATCACACTTTCATTTACATTTATTGAAAAATATATAAGGAAAATATGCTGACAGTGCTATAGGTAGCTATAAACACCCCAAAGTCTCTGCACTTTGTGAACGGAATAATGGATAGAGCTGGTCGTTGGCCTCATCCAGCAGAATTCAGATTATTTTATATTATTTTCCTTTGGGATACATATTCCAGAATTTGCAAACTCACAGTGGTTGTGCATGAGGCTAAGAGGGGTTGTAAAAGTGGGCAGCCAATGTAGAATCAGAATTATTAGAGTTAGAGTTAGAGTTAGAATTAGAGTTAGAGTTAGAGTTAGAATTAGAATTCTTTATTGGCCAAGAAATAGACGAAGTAGATGAAGGCTATGCTGGCTGAAGAATTCTGAGAGTTGAAGTCCACCTATCTTCAAGTTGCCAAGACTGAGAAACACTGTGTTAGAATAATAAATTGTGTATGTGTGTACATGGCTTTATTTCTGTCTTTAATAGAGACCAATTTTGCCAGATTACATCTGGGACTCTTCCGCTGTGTAAGTCAGTTCCTGGATTGGAGTCAAATGACTGGACAGCGGAAATTTACAGCTGATCCTGTGTGAAACCTGAAACAAGGATGTGCAAAATATTTGGACCTCAAAAACTCCCAAGTTCAAAATTGCCACTTCGAGTGTCCCGAACATGCAACACAACCCAGGTGCTTTGAGAATTTCTTTTTGAGGTCAGAAGAAAATTTAGTTCTAAGACTGAAACCAAACTTAGCAGTTTCATATCTTCTGACTGTTCCGAGCCCTGATGCCGGGCTGCTTTTATGTGGGTAGATGTAGACTCACTTCAGTGAATGCCTTTGTGTCTTGATGCAACGTTAAAAAGTTATCACTGTAATTAAGAAGCATCAGAAGCCTTTCTCCACAAACTGACTGCAAATTATAGAAAAACCTGTATATCATTTTTTCTGGGCTCACAAAGATAAAAAAGATGTGCAGATTTTAAAAAAATATATTAAGGAAACTACCTAGAGGAAATATATGGATTGAAAAAGAGTTTAGTTGCTTTCTTGGCTCTGTAATCTGTTGGCTCAGTGACCCAAAGGGATTATGTATTTAAGGAAGTTGGAAAGAGTTCCTTTAAATCCCTAGTCTGGGACAATAGGTATAGCTCAATACTGCCCCCTAAAGCCCTGATCAATTAACTCCATACAAAGAGATATAAATAAAGGAAAATCAGTTTTTGTGTTCGTCTCAAATCTTCCCTATAACTAGGATGTACAGGTGTGAGAGTTGGACACTAAAAATGGCTGATCGAAGAATTGATGCCTTTGAACTGTGTTGCTGGCGTAAATTATTGCACATACAATGGACAGCCAGATTTGGGGCTCAATTGTGGTCATAAGTCAAGGACTACCTGTATTAGCATCCATAACTCTGGCACCCTTGTCTGGTCTATCTTGAAGAAATGACAACTGATTGAGCAGTTAAAAACAAAAAGCCATAACTATTCTGGCTCTTAAATTGTTAAACCATGATTGATTATTACAGTGTCCAATGTTGTGAACATCCAACCATATGGTATAATGCACTAAACCATGATTTAATCTTCATAGTAGTGGAATGTGGTGGTTCACAAGGTTAGAAAGCCAGGCTGACGATCAGCAGGCTCCCATTTGAGACCCTTCTGCATAGGGCGGGGTGAGTTCCTGTCACACGCTCCAGATCCTACTGACCCAACAGCTTAAAAGTGAGCGACCACACGTAGATAACTGGGTACCACTTCACGGGGACACAAAAGGAGCCCCCAAATGGACGTCCCCCAGGTAATGTCACCGGCAAATCCTATCTATGCAGTCAGTATCTGCATATTTGTTTATCCTGTTTGTGCAACTCATCATCGTCATTTTAGCCACGGTCTATCCACTGCAGGATGAAGGCCTCTTCTGCATGTTTCCAACCAATATGGTCCTCAGCTTTCTTTTGCCAATTGGGCCTGCAAAGCATGCTGGTGTCGTCGACCCATCTTGTTTTAGGTCTCTTTCATGGACGCTTTTTTATTAGGTGGGATCCATTCTATGACTGCCTTGGTCCACTTGCCATCCGTTCTTCTTGCTATGTGACCAGCCCATTTCCATTTCAATTCTTTTACTCTCTTATTTATTTATTTATTTATT